CCATGCCCAATGAGAAATTAAACAACGGTTAGTATTTATATGGTGCTTTTAATATCAGCAAAGTGCTTTACAAGTATTATCTCATTTTATTCTCACAAGCCAATTTTAATCCCTACTTTACAGAGAAAACTGGGACAGTCAGAAGTTAAGTGATTAGCTTAGAATCCCAAATATAATGTCTGGGGCAGAATCTCAGATATTTTGACTCTTGGTGGAGTGTTCTATCCATTGTGCCACCTCGATTCAATAAAATGGACATATGTAAATGCAAGAGGGAAAAAAGAGAAAGATATGCTTTTAATTTTAGTGACTTGCTGTGGTGCATTGCTTTAATAAAGGGATATGTTCCTTTTGGAATTTTCCATTTTAGAAGGCATTCAGAATGGATGAATTTTAATCTTTCTGGAATGCTTAGGCATGGTCCTTCCAAAGTCAGGAGAATGAATAAGATGTCTTATGCTTGAGTGAGAACATCGCCCTGAAGGCTATAACTGGAAGGGTCATTGACACAGCTGCATGGAAACCAGGAAGTTTCACTATGAATCGAAGAAGTGCTATTTCCCCTTATGGAGAACAGTGAAAGGTGAGTGTAATGAAGAATAATTATATCCTACAAAACAGTTTAGGATATAGCCTTGAAAGAAATATGCTTAAATCATAGGAAATTGGATGACATGCACTTATTGGGGTATGACGGAAAAAGCGATGGTCAGAGAGCTAGGGTTCAAATCTTGGCTCCACCACTTATTACCTGTGTGAATTTGGGCAACTCATTTCACTTCTAAGCCTCAGTTTCCTCATCTGTAAAGGGCAGTTGGACTAGACTTCTAAGGTCCCTTTCAGCCTTAAATCTATAATTCTATGAGCCCAGAATACATGTAATACAGGAAGGATTCTAAATTCAACTACTGTTTTCACGAAGCAAACAATTCGGATCCCATTAGAATATGACATGTCAGCCAACAAAATATTCGGTAAGCTCTTATCAGGTGCTACACTAAGCTCTGGTGAAAGCTTAGAAAGAAAAAAACAGTCCTTCACTCTTGAGGAGCTCACATTCTTTTTTTTTTCTTTTTTTATTAATATGAGACAATCAGGGTTAAGTGACTTGCCCAGAGTCACACAGGTAGTGAGTGTTATGTGAAGGGCCAAATTTGAACTCAGGTCTTCCTGACTCCGGGTACAATGCTCTATCTATCCACTGCGCCACCTAGCTGTCCTCACATTCTAACGGGGAACAACATGCAAATAAATGACTATGTATATACAAGATCCATACCATGTAAATGGGAAGGTAATCTCAGAGGAAAGGGAAAGGGGGAGGGGGAGTTTAAGGTCTCTCTACAAGAAGGTGGAATTTGAGCAGACTCTTGTTGGCCAAAATGGTGATTCCTCACCACCACCATCTTTGTCCCCCATTCACCCAGCCTTTTTTATGAGTAACTCAGAAGTAATATCTGGGTCATTATCTAAAATTAAAATGATTCAAACATAACCCCAACAAAATTAATAGTAAAGAGAGTAGTCATTTCATATTTTATTAATGAACAAAGTATTTATTTTTAAAGAATGTGATTCTATCATACATCAAGAGAAAAAATAACTTTTATTATGTTTTCTCTCACATACATTTTCAAACCTCTTGAGCTCATTCCATAATTAGCATCCATTTACTTATTAGCTTCTTTAGTCCTGCTTTAGAAACAGCAAAGGTACCTTGGTAATTCTCTTTAAAAGGATATGTGGGGGAAGATGGAGGAAGGGAAGAGGTGGTTAAAAAACTTGTCTCAAACGAGTCTCAATATTTCTTCCCTTTTCCTAGGATAAAATATACAGGTGAGTAGAGAACTGTACAGGTAGGTTATGTCCAAGATTGTTTTTTCCTTAATTCCTAAATTAAATTAGTTTCAAAAGACAAATATAATTCTTTCTTCACAGCACATTGTCCCAAAGCTTCCACTTTGTAAGTTTAAAGAACTGCCTAAACTTTGGCTTCATGAAATAGCAATTTAACATCACAAGTGTTTATAAGGATACAGCATTACAGGTAGCAGTGGACAGGGTGCATGGCTGGGGAGTCAGGAGTAACCAAACTCAGATCTGACCTCTGACACATATCAGCCATATATAACATGGTCTTATTAGGACAAGACCACAGGCCTAGACCTGGAAAGGCTCTAAGAGGTACCTTGTCTGACCTCATTTTAGAGATGAAGAAACTGAAACCAAGGGAGTCACTTAACAGTGACCTGCCCAAGGTCACAAAGGTAGTATCAGGGTAGGATATGAATCCAAGATTCTGACTCATGAGCCAGCTCTGCTATATTTCATTGAACCCCTTTAGTTGACTGGAATCTTTAAGCTGCTTATGTAACACAGACATGGTTGTTGTGAGGAAAAAAATGAGAAAATATTTGTAAAGAGCTTTGTAAAGTGCTATTTGAATTCTAGCTATTAATCACTGAATATTTATTAAGTGCTGATGATGATGATGATGATAATGATAATGATGATGCACTGAGAGGGAGATACACTCATTTTCACTTGCCTAGTTGATCTGTGTTTTGTGCCTTAACTGGCATGAAGGCAGCATGATGCAGGAGAAAAAGACTGGAAATCCAGGAAGACCCAGGTTCAAAATTATTAACTGTGAGACAACAAGCAAGGCTCTTGACCTCTCAGTCTTCGTTTCTTCCTCTATAAAAGAGGGATAATAACTTGTAATACCTTAAAAAATAGTGGTGAAAATCAAATGAAAATGCATGTAAAAAAAAAAAACAACTCTTTGTAAAGCTGAACAAACACTGCTCCTTTTTAAACAGAACAAGGAAACAATAAAATGCATTCCTTCTCTTTATGAATGCTTGACAACACCTACTCTAAATTTAGATCTCCAGTTATAAAAATTACACAGAAGGAAAAAAAAAAGTCATGAGGACCTTTTTGCTCATACTCTTCCTCCTAAAATGCCTCCCAATGATCAATTCCCACCCCACCAACCTCCCTAGGTGGAACAAAAGGCAGGCATTGAAGACCCAATTCAAATACGTGTAATCTCTATGTTTTCAGAGTCTTCTCCCTTCCCTCAGGCTGTGATTAACTTCTTCCTAGGTGAACTGTCATGTTCTTTTCACCTCTGCTTAGTACTACCTCAAATTATAGGGTAGTCCATAATAATAACTAATAAGTAGCATTTGCTGTTCAGTCCTTGAGTCATGTCTGACCCCTCCTGATCCCGTAGACCACACTGTCCACGGGGGTTTTCTTGGTAAAGATACTGGAGTGGTCTGCCATTTCCGTCTCCAGTGGATGAAGGAGAACAGAAGTTAACCTAATCGCTAAAGGTTATGCAGGTAGTAAGTATCTGAGGTTGGATTTGAACTCATATCTTCCTGACTCCGGGGCCAGAGCTCTTTCTACTAAGCCAAGGTATCTAGCTACCCAGGTAGCAGTGACATAGTTTTTAAGGTTTTCAAAGTGCTTTACGTATGATAAGTAGGTGCTATTACTATCATCATCATTTTACAAATGAGAAAACTGAGGCAGACATAGGTTAAATGAATTGCCTGGGGTCACACAGTAAGTACCTGTTACAGGATTTGAACTCCAGTCTATCCTGATTCCAAATCCAGCCCTTTATCCACTACACTACCTCGGTGCCCACATGCCTTACTTCCCCTACTTACTCTAAGCACTAAAAGAGCAAGGCCTTATCTTATTCACTATATTTTCCAGAAGATCTTGCATAAAAGAAGTACTCAAGGAATGAAAACACTTAAAAACCACAGACATTTCTAAATGCCATAGAGGACTGAAAGGACCCTACCACACATTCTGCTGTATTCACCCACTATACAAAAACACTATAACACAAATATTAAGTGAATCCAACCTCAAGCTCTGGGAAGATTGCTGCCATTTTCATATAGGGTAAACTGAGGCAGAGAAAGTGGAATGCTCAGATTGACAAGAATTAAAGGAAAGATCTGGAAAGATCACAGGACACTTGATTCTCAAGCTGGTATCATTATCATAGTCATGCTGAATCTTTCTTAGACAGGTAGACACACGCATACCTGAAGCAATAAATATATGGAGTGACTACCTAATAAAACAATTCAAGTCAATTAAGAGCTCAACCTAACACATTTCTTGTCTAGCGTGGACACGAAGTACAAATGTTTTTAAGACTCACACAAGACCCTTATTCTAAAGCAGGTTTTGCAAAACTATCCTAAGATTCTTTTCTGTTCTGTTAACTTGAGAATCAATTTTGATATCACGGATACAGGCCTAAAAAAAGTTCAGTGTCTTTGGTTTGTGCTTGCTTTCTTAAATAAGAACCTTAAGGTTGTACTAATGATAGACAAAAGATATATGACATTTATAAGGCATTTCATGACAATTGACCTTTTCCCATGAAAACTGAGGCAAAGCAGAAGCCATTTTTTCTTCTGTTCTTAATTATTCAAATACACATAACAAAAACCACAGCAATTTGAGGATTTCACCCTTAGATACTTACACACACACACACACCTCTCCTCTAAGTGTTCTCTCTAAAAATATTAATTGCCAATATCTATATAGGGTTTTGAGGTTTGCGAAACGCTTTATATATGTTTCCTCATAATAGCCCTGTGAGGTAGGTTCTAGTATCACCATTGACAGTTGAAGAAAGAGACTGAGAGTGCTTAATTGACCTTGTCTAGGGTCATATTCCCCAATTAAGTATATGAGGCAGGATTTGAATTCAACTCCTAACTCCAATTGCAGCATAATTTCTAATATACTACCTATCTGCCTAGGGGTACACTTTATGGTTAGGTTACACAAGAATTTAACTGCTGAACAGTATTTAAACTTCTCTTAAATAAAGCAGAAGACATGTCTATCTGAAGCTAGTGAATTCTTTAAAACAAGATATTTTAATGTAAGTAGACACCAAGAAGTTTTAAAAAGGCCAGTAATATTTCCTTGTTACCCAACAACCATATTAATCTTGTCAAAACATTTATTCTTTTCCAGTAAGTGACAATTTCACTCAAAAAATTAGGTGTGTACTAGGCTTTTGGGGCCTTCAGTTTCTCTACAATTGTGTTTTAAATGACAACAAAATATTTAGGGTAGGGCTTACTCAAAAGCTTATAGTGCAGAACATTTTAGTTCATTTGCTAGTTAATTCATTTTCCACTGACCACAATTTTTAATTTTGTCATCTGGGTTCACCAGGATGCCATTAGTGGTGAGGCTTATACCACTGATTAACTCTGAAATGAGATCTTTATGGTAAGAACATGCAAAACATGTTCTTAAAACACCCAAAAACCCACACAATGTTGGAGAGTAAAGAAGAAAAGGCTGTCTAAACTTAACTATCAAAGTTATCCCCTGGAAAGGACTAGATCCCCAGGAAGTCTCCCATGACCATGCCCAGATTAAGGGATTAATGAATGCTCACATGGATTAGAAGAAGCTTGAATACAGAATCACTGGCACAAAGTTAAAATTATAGACCTTGAAAAGGTTTACTATGGAATGCAAAACTTTTGAATATATATAATATATATATATATACACACACATATATATATATATTTAAAAAACCCAAACACTATTAAACAAGAAAAGTGACCCCTTCTGTGACTAATGGTAATTATAATGCCCAAATTAATGGGATAAACTACCAGAATATCCTTCAAGAAAAAAAAAATTATACATAAAAACTGTTGGCAAAGTCAGGATTAAAGTTTTCTTCTGTAGTAATGATCTTAATAAAATAATTCAACTTGGAAGTCCTTCCAAACATGGAAGAACTGTGCTTATTTTTAAAAAATAAAAAAAAAGCATAACATTTGATATTGTTTAAAGAAGAAGACAAGCTTTGAACATATGTTCTGGACCCTGGCATGGAACAATTTACTATAAGTTCCATTTCCAACTAAGAAGTTCAGGCACCTAGGGATACCACCATTTTAAAGAACCACCCATATGAAAAGTCCCAATACAGCAGTTCATCTGGAATCCAGTCTCAGTTTAAGTCTTCGTAGGCATAAAGTCAGCTATCATTTTATACCAAAAAAAGTAGTAGGAGAAACATTAACAGCACTGGGATTTACTCTCTGCCCTCAAAGTGTCCTGGTCCAACTTTATTTTGTCCACATCATCTTCATTAGGAAAATTTTTATGGTTTGCAAGAATATTCTCCACCAAGAATCGAACTGCTTCATCTATGTTGATATTATCCTGAAATGAAGAAAAATAAAACCAATGTTTTATCCTTCAAAGAGTACTGAAGCTCTTTAGGAGAATCAGAGAAAAGATTTTAAGAACAGGATTTGTTGAATGCTCCAAGGGTTCCTTGTTTTAAACATTTCTTAAGCACTTAATTACTACAGAGTACCATGCTCTGTCCCAGTAAGGAAGAAACCAAGTTTTGTTAAGACATGATTCTGCCCTCATGGAATTTGTAGCTTAAAAGAGAGACAAAACACACACATTTATACATATACATACAAACACACACACCTGTTTTTTTAACAGTAAAATGCATTTTATCACTGGCTCCAAACACTCATTAAATTTTCACAATCTTCCTTTTTTCTAGCTTTCCCAGTTCAAATATTACCTATGCATCTTGAAGTCCTTGAGAGAGGCAATGTGGTATGGAAGGAAGGCACATGTGACACAGAGACAATGCTTGTATTGATATCTTACATCTTCTGCTTCCTCTTTGCATAACCAAGTAAATAATTTTAAACTCTCAGTTTGCAACCAGGAAAGAAATACTTACCATTTCAAGAAGCCTATGCTGCATTGTAAATCAATCATTAACAACCCTACCATGCCAGGTGCCTTTGAAGATCTTTACTTGTTTTCTGAGGTTTACTCTGTTTTGCAACAATAGTTTGCAAAATCTTTTTTTGAAATTTTTTTATTTTTATTTTCTGTAAATTCTTGACCTTCCCAGGCCCCCCCAGGCCCCTTATTTTCCTGAGCACTTTTGTGCACCTGACTTTCTACTTCATTGTGCCCTTGAATCATGGCTGAAGTTCTTGAACTCTCCACAAGTATTCTACTATTCACTGAAATGTACTTTTTAAAGAGCTAAAACTTTCACATGTCTTCGTAGTAATAACTATTCTTACGGTAAAAACGTAACAAAAAAGAGCCCTCATGTGGAACAAAATTTAGCAATGAACTGACAGCAGACTAACTAAAGGTGGACAAACAAGCTCAATCTGGTTTCAGTTGGTCAGGATCAGCTATTCCAAGTCATTGGTAGGAGCACAGAATATGAATGAGCGTCGATGTCACAAAATGAAAGCATGTTAAACTATAGCCTGTCCCAATTAAATTCACACACTACTATAGCTCTTAAATTGTATGATCTGAAAGAAGTCAATGTTATACTATTACAATCTTGTTTCAGTTGTGTCCAACTCTTTGTGACCCCATTTTGGGGGTTACTGGAGTGGTTTGCCATTTCCTTCTACAGCTCATTCTACAGATGAGGAAACTGAGACAAACAAGGTTGAGGTCATACAGTTAGTAGTGTCTGAGGCCAGATTTGAACTCAGGAAGATGAGTCTTCCTGACTCCAAGTCTGACACTGTCTCTAGCCCCTGTGCCATTTAAGCTGCCCACTCCTCTAAGAGACTCACTTAAACCAAAGGAAAGAGTTCAGACAAATGTTTCATTGTGAGGTCCCTTTTGCCCCAAACATTGAGTATATGATGTGAGCCAACGGTGATGATATTTCCAATGGTCTCTTCACTGAAGTATGTAATGAGTTCTACACACAGCTGCTTTTATTTTTCCCCTTAGTATAGATTGTTGTTTTTGGGTATCATGCACAAATTAGTTAATTTTGAACAGTACGGTACCTGTGGAGCTTTGTTAAAAAAACATCCTAAGGAATCAGCAGCTATCACAACATTCTCCTCCGTGATTTATAAGTTGTCATTAGATACACAATGGGTACTATAGAACAGTAGCTATGCTTTTCATCCTTAGATACCCCTCACAGCATCAGCACCAATTACTTTTACTCATTCCTCCAGTTGCAAGAAAGTGGATAGTTTTGACTTAAGTACTACGCTTGGAAAACATGCTTTCAAAATATTTAGTTCAATGTGATGGATGTGTTCCTTCTGCAATAACAAATACTTTATATTAAATCTGGCATTTCAAATACCTATTAACCTCATGGAATAAATTAATTTGTAAAGGCAATATTCACGAACTTCTCATCCTAGAGAAATCACTCATTGATAATGAATTTCTGCAACTGATGCAATAATGTCCTTTTAACTAGCTTCCAAGATGGACACTGGATACTCCTCTTTTCTATATCTCCCACCACTGAAGTTTCAAGAGAAAAGGAGACTAAATTCTTCACGTTTATGTTTGGGCTCAGTGATTCTATTAATCAAGTCCCTATTCAGAAAAGGAACTGAAATCTACGGAGATGAATTTTTTTCTTATAGCCTTACCATCTACAATTGGTCAATAGAACCATTCTGCAGCATGTGCAAGAACAGATCTCCTTTCCTCCATTTGTTAGAACAGTGGGTTTTATGAAACCATCATACATTTTTGTTCATTTACAGAATCGTGGAGAGCAAAGGGACCTCAAAGGCCATCTAGTCAAATCTGTATCTGAAAAAGTACTCCTCCACAAGCCATCCAGCTTCTGCTTTTGAAAAGATCTAGTAGTTTTTAAAAACTTGAGTTCCAAATTTTCTCTTCCTCCTGCCCCCGAGAAGACAAGCAATATAATATCAATTATAGATGTGAAATCATGCAAGACATATTTCTGTAGTAGCCATATTGCAAAAAGATAAAAATAAAAAGCAAGAAACATAAAAAAAGTGAAAAAAGTATGCTTCAATCTGCACTGAGTTCATCAGCTCTCTTTCCTTTAAGCCACATGAAGATCCAGGCTCTTACCTTTGCAGATGTTTCAAACCATCCGGTAAAGCCATTTTCTTTGCAGAACTGGTCCATCTGGGAAGGGCTATGGCCACTGTCATTGTTCTGATCACATTTATTGGCGAGGAGAACTGTGGGGATTGCGATGCCATTTGGAAGCTGTACCTTACTGTCCAAATCATTCTTCCACTTGAGGACTGCCTCAAATGTGGACCCTCTTGATATATCAAAGACCACAAAAGCACCCACGGCTTCTTTGTAGTATACTCTCGTCATGTTTCCAAACCGTTCTTGACCTGAAAACGCATTTACAAGGGAGAATCTTTACGACAAAAGAAAAATAAATCCACAATTCGAATGTCTGTTTTTTAATATATTCAAATCAAACAAACATTTATGGAGTATCTAATATATTCAAGGCTTTGTTCTAGGCACACCAAAATAAAACTGAAACAATCCTTGCCTTTAAGAAGCCTCTATTCTACTGGGAGGATAAAAACACGTACACAGATAAGTAAATGCTAGGTACTTTGAAAAGGAAGAGAGCAGTAATTACTGGCGGGGGATGGAAGGGTGGGTGGTGGTATTATGTGGAGCTCGGGAAGGCTGGGAAGAAAATTCAGCAAAGACTTCCATAGGAGGCAGCTACGCATTCTAAAAGGCATTGGACTCATTCCAGTCATGGGAAACAGTCTGTGAAGCAAAGAGATAGACAGAGATAGGAGACAGGGATGCCATGCACAGGCAACAACAGCACACTAGTTGGGTTAGAATGTTCAGTAGGGGAAGGGGAGGGAATAAGCATTCATATAAGGCTGTGTGCCGGACACTGTATCAAACACTTTACACATACCTCACCTGATTCTCACAACAACCCTGCAAAGTAGGTGCTATTATTATTCCTATTTTATAGATGAGGAAACTGAGGTAAATAAAGGTTAAGTGACTTGTCCAGGGTCATACAACTGGAAGTGTCAGACATCAAATATGAATTCAGGCCTTCTTACCTCCAGGCTCAGAGTTCTCTACCTACTGAACCATGTAGCTACCTCAGTATATAAAAGTGAATAATATGAAATAAGTTTGGAAAGGTAGGTAAAAGCCAGATTGGTGACACTTTTAGATGATAGGCTGAGTTTATATTTTATATTAGATAACCACTAAAAAGATTTCCCCCATTGGAACATAAGCTTCTTAGGGGCAGGGATGATTTCAGTTTTGTCTCTGTATCTCCTGTACTTTGCACCGTGCCTGCTACATAGTATCAATCAATCAATCAACATTTATTAAGCACCTATTATGTGCCATCACCAGACAAAAAGCAGCAAAAGACAATACCTACCCTAAGGAGTTTACAATCTAATAAAGAAAACACTTAAACAGTATATTCAAAGCAAGCTATAAATAGGATAATTAGGAAATAATTACTAGAGGGAAGGCACTGGAATTAAGGGGGGTTGGGGAAGGCTTCCTCTAGAAGGTAGGATTTCAGTTGGGACCTAAAGAAGCCTAGGGCAGCTAGGTGGCACAGCAGGTTGAAGGCTGGGCCTAGGGTCAGGAAGGTTCATCTTCCTGAGTTAAAACTTGGCCTCAGACACTTACTATCTGTGTGACCCTGGACAAGTCACTCAACCCTGTTTGTCTCAGTTTCCTCATTTGTAAAATGAGCTGGAGAAGGAAATGGCAAACCACTCCAGTCTCTGCCAAGAAAACTCCAAATAGGGTCAAGAAGAGTTGGACACAACTGAAAAACAACTGACCAACAACACAGACAGTACTATATGGTCTCTGGATTCCCTCCCAACTCAGACTTACCATACCACATAGCATACTGGAGTCCATATTTGTGATTCCATGAGTACTGGTGGTACAGTGGATAGAACACTGGGCCTTAAGTCAGGAATACCTCAGTTTGAATCCTGTCTCAGACACTTACTAACCATGTGTTAAGTCACTTAACTGCTGCTTGCCTCAGTTTCCTTAAATGTAAAATGGGAATAATAACAACAACCCTTACCTCCTAGGTCTGTTATGAGGATAAAATTATATATGAATGTGTACAAATACACAAAAATAAAATAAACGCTAGCTACTACACCATCTGTAATCACTTTGAACTATCTAATCTAATTTAAGCACATGGAACAAGAAGATTTAAATCACACATGCCCTAAACAGTGCTGGGGACAACTGCCAATGAAAACAGCTGCCTTTTCTGATATTAAGAGACAAGAGGGCTAGGTTAAAAACGAAGAGCCCTTCAACAGTAGCACCAAATGAGTGTTTCAGAAAGATGATAAGAGTAAGGCACTGATAAAGCTTGCCAGAAGATTAGAGGAGGAAATTTTGAAAGAAGAAAAAAAAAAAAAAACAACAAAGATAGGATGATTTCTCCTCTACCAGCCCATATTCTTTAGTCATCTTCCCTTCACATCTCAGCCCAGTCCTCTGGGGTTTTGTGTATTTGGTTTTCTGAAGCTACGGCAGAGCTGCTCTTTTACTCCAGAAAGTCTAGGTGAAAAGCATATATTAGGGAGCTATATTTGCATTTCAAAGTGATTCATTGCAGAGTCTCTTTAAGCAGTAAGAGTCTGTCATACAGTAAAAAAAGGATTACACAGAGGGGCAAGAGTACTGTAGCACCTACAGCATAATAAACAAAGACCTCGATTTTTTTTTTTACAGTGCTTTGAATATCTTTCAAATCAATTCCCTCTGAGGTAGAAAGAGTTATCCTCATTTAGAGGAAAGGGAAGTTAAGTCACCCAAGTCACCCGGCTGGTAGGTAGGTTCTCAGCTTGGGCTCCGGGTAACTCTCAATCAAGTGATTCCTCTAGTGGCAGTGGCTAGAGTGCTGGGGCCTGGAAACTAGAAGATCTGAATTCAAATCTTGCCTGAAACATACTTCCTAGCTGTGTTAGTTACCCTGGTGAAGTCTCTTACCTTTTGCTTGTCTCAGTTCCCTCAACTGTAAAATGTGAATAATAACAGTCCCCTGTCACTCAGGGTTGTTGTGGGGATCAAATGAGAGGGTATTTGTAAGCCCAGAGCCTGGTCGAAAGTAGGCTCTCAATATATATTTGTTTTCTTCCTTCTCTATTACAAAATGTTATCTTATGGATTTAAACTTACATTTTTCCTTTCTAATCTTATGAAATTTTTAGTATAAAATGTGCTGGCAAAACATCACCAGAGACACTGTGGTAATGCCAATGCTGTGCATGGTCTAAAATTGGGGTCTATGACCTTGGTTTTTTGTTGTTGTTGTTGTTGTTTTGTTTTTGGTGAGGCAATTGGGGTTAAGTGACCTGCCCAGTGTTACACAGCTAGTGAGTGTTATGAATCTGAGGCTGGCTTCAAACTCAGGTCCTCCTGACTCCAGGGCCAGTGCTGTATCCACTGTGACTCCAAGCTGTCCCTCTGGCCTTGTTTAAAAAATATATATATTTTGATAACTGTATTTCATTATAATTGGTTTCCTTTATAATCCAACTTACTTAATAGTTGTAATCCTATGTATTTATGCATCACGATTATTCGCAGAAGGGGTCCACTGACTTCAAACTGCCAGAAGGTCCCAGGACACACAAAAAAGTTAAGAACCACTGGTCTAAATGGTATCTGAAACACACACTGTCTGCAGGGCCTTAGGAAAATGTTGTCTTTGAAAAATAAAGAATATCAAAACAGCTCAAATTCTTTAACAATCATCCAGGCTAATTAAGTCTAGTTATCAGATTTAACATTTTTAATTGAACATCTGGATCTCAGTGCCACAGATATTTATAAATTAAGCAAGCTGAGACAATAAACAGTTGTTGAAGATGATGGAAAACCAAATGCAACGCAAAGTTAGGATGATAATAAAGGGGCAGCTAGGTGGCGATGTGAAATAGAGCACTGGCTCCAGAGTCAGGAGGAACTAAGTTCAAATCCAACCTCAGACATTTATTAGCTGTGTGAGCCTGGGCAAGTCACTTAACCCTGATTGTCTTAAAACAAAACAAAACAAAACAAAACAAAAAGATGATAATAAAGCCTGACCCTGGGCTGTCAGCACTGCCAAGCAATCCAAAATGCATAAATGCCCCAAGTTTATAAACTTTAATACTCTTAAAAAGTATTTCATAGTGGAATAGTAGAAAAAGAGGAAAAATACTAATCAAGCTAAGATGGCTGATTTTAATTACCTTTTGACAAGTCCCTCCTTGCAGGCTCACTGGAAGCTCTGCTTGCCACAGTCGGAGCCAAACCTATTGCAGTAATTGGTCAAATACCTGTAATCCCTATACATGAGTGTGGTCTCATTTTCATGTTCATATTTTATTACTAACTTAAATCTGGGCAGCCAACTGTTTAGTGTGTGATTTCACTACATATGCTGACATTTTAAAACGGTGGCATCATTCCATTTTCCATTAACATTTAATATGCACCCACAGCATGTGCTGAGCTTGACACAGAACACAGCCCTCAGATCCAAAGCAACTTGACTGCTTGGCAAAGACCGTCTTACTGGTATTCTCCTCCATTTCCTTTTGAAAAGGCTCTCCCTACTGGTTTCATTCATTATTGGGCTATGTTTTTAAACCTCTAATAATGATAGGAACAAGATTTAAACTTGCCTCACTGAGATAACATTTAAAAATATTAGCTATACAAAAGATTTACCTTTGATTAAGCCATTTAATTTGAGAGAGGCATAATAAAAGAATCTAGAAAAAAGGGATAAACATGGACCACAGAAGGGATCCAAAGTCATTACATTCTCCATCCAGTGACTACCATTTTGTCCTTTTAGTTAAATCACATAATTGGCCTTCATACAGACGCTTTTGAACAAATTATTGCAGCCATTCAACCCTCATTTAATTAGGGTAAAAATACTGTTTCAGGTAATGGTAGAGAAAGAAAGATAATTATGATATCGGTCCTGCCTTCATTGAGCTTACTGGTTATGTCACACATGGTTTAAAAAAAAAAAAAAACAATGCTACATAACTGCGAAAGAACAAAACAGAGTAAGAGCATGGGAAGCACAAAACACTATGAAAAGTAAGAGAATGGAAAGATGATTTCTGATTGAAGACAGCACAGATTAGTTCCCGGAGGATGGAGGAGTTAAATTGGGCTTTGAAGGACGGGTAGGATTTGGAACAGCATGAAGGGGGAAAAAAGCCTATAAACAGTTGACAGTATGGGAGAAAGGGTTGAATTTTTAGTTGGAGAGAAAAGCTCATACAGAAGTGGTTAGTGAGAGAAATTTGAAAAAGCTAGGTGGCATGGTGGACCCAGA